TATATTTAATATAAATAGATTGATGAAAAAAACCCTGAGAAAATTTGAGAAAGTGAAAAGAGTTATCTCTGCATGATTATATCAAATAAAAGGGTCATATGAAATTTTGTTTTTCTTACATCAACAGGTGATTTTAAATTAGCATGGGAAATCTGAGCGTTTTTGTGGTGAAAAAGATTGATTTGGAAATTCTTGTAAAAATTAGATAATTGTTAGTTTGTAATGAAACTTTCAGGACTTATTCACAAATGAATTAAATTATTTTAGAAACTGTTTTTAGAAATATATATATATATATATATATATATATATATATATATATATATATATTTTAAGACATTTTTATGTTTGTACATTTTTTTGTCGGACTTTGTCCATTTCATTATATATATATATATATATATTTCTAAAAAAGTTTCTCAAATGATATATATATATATATATATATATAATAATATATATAATATAATATAATATATATATATTATATATATATAATAATATATATATTTCTAAAACAATATTATATATATATATATATATATATATATATGTTACACTCACTTATTTAATTTTATGAAATTTAGAGAAATTCATTTTTGTAAAGCTTAATGTTATAAGGACAAGTCCATGAAGAATTTAAATCATTTTTTTGTCAAACATGACCCCAGTTCCAGAAAATCTGCTCTGTATTGTAAAATAAAAAAATGTAACTAAAATATTATTTAATTAGAAAAGTTTTTATCTGCTTTTATGAATATATTATAGACACTATTGTCTTAAAAAAAATTTGATGAGTAATGAATTTTTACAAGAATTGTTTTCATTTTTTAAAATATTTATTAAAATAATTTATAAAGTTTTAAATCTTTTAAAATTCTTATTTGTAACAGGTGGTAATGTTATTAAGTAAAAATTATATTTACTCATGAAAAATGGAAAAGCATACTATATTCAGCAACCCACAGTATTTAAAAAAATTTTTTTTGTGTGTGTGTGTGACAATTTTTGTAAATACGGACATCCATAAATGACATTATCATGAAATGAGTGTAATAACTATAGTAAATTTAAAATGTATTCATAATTTTATAACATTATCTCATTTAAAATGTATTCATAATTTTATAATATTATCTCAACAAATGTCTTCATACGTAAGACTATAAAAAGCCAATGTACCAAAAGTCAGTAAAATATTAGAATTAGCTTAATTTGAATATTTTTTCTAAATTTTAAAGATTACTGGATAGTTAAAAAAATCGTATATAAAAAGTGTTCACGTTGTATTTGTTGAGTAATGTTTATGTGCTTTTTACTTAAAAATGAAAAACATTAAACTATTGATAAATCTATCAAGACCTCATAAAAACACCAATGTCCGTGTTAAAAAATGTTTTTCTGTAAAAGTTTTTAAACTAAAAGTAGTTAATATTAGTTATAATTCAGATGAATTAAACTTTAAATCGGTTAATCTTCCTCAAATAAAGTTTCAGAAAAGTATATTTTATTTTTGAATGATTTTTTAATAAAGAGAGTTATGTTGTGTTGATGGTTTGTCAATATGGCCGATTTTAGCAATTTCTAAAAATATTTCAATCAATTTAAATTTGGTTTGAAATACAGCAAAGTGTTTTGCTTATTGGAAATATTTCTGTTATAATTCTACTTGTCCCTCTTTTCTTTAGTTAGTTCCTTAGTTTGACAGTTGCGCCCTGCTAATACCTCAAATAAACTATCTATTCTATTTTATTCAAATAAAAATTCGCCTGCGATTGGCTAATAAATTACTATTAACTTTGTATAGGACAATTTAGCCATCGCATCCGTTCCTTTGAATCTTTTGGTTCTGAGCACACTTACCTATTCTGTTTAGTACATGTGTAGTGATTGGTTAATTTTTATCCAATCACATATTTTTAATGTAAGATCAAGTTTTCTCACGGTTCTGTGGGAGCCTACCTCTTTTCCTTAAATAGGTCGACTTTGCACAAGTCGCCAGTAAAGATCCCAGCCCTCAACACAAATCCACGATCTTGCTCATCACACTCTAACGCACACACAGACACAGAATTTCATAACTACAAACTTACATTTTCTCTCTGTAACTTTTGCCAAGCACAATCAACCAGAACTTTGTTGATTCAAACCAGTTTATTCACAACACATTTCAAGCAATTGTATTCTTCGTGTTATTCATTCTTCACATGCAAACTTTGCTCTAACAATTATTTCAGAACATTTATCTCACAAGAGAACTTTCTTCAAACAATTAATTACAATCAATCTACAGTTAAAGGGAAACAACTTCCTTCCCTTTAATCTACATTGTGAATAACAAATTATTTCATGCTTGTTGTATTTTATTCAATATATATTTGTTGGTTAACAAATTGGAGTTGTTATTATTATTTCTTGAATCCTGTACGTGGAAGAATCATTAAATAGTAGTAGTGCCTATATATTTGGATTCCCTGCTACATTTAGTGAATCGACCCGACGCTATATTTGGTATGCACGCTACAAAAGCTTCAAGAAAGATTTTTCATTTTTAAAATGCATGTTAGTTTTTTTTTAGTTTTTTTTATATTTTAGAGGTACCTAAAATTAAATCAAATATTCTTGCTTTTCCTGGCTTGTGGAAACTTCCTAGTTAAACTAAAAAAGCGAAAATATGTAAGTTATGGCATGTGAATGCTAAACCTAAACAGAAACTCATTAACATAACCTTACGACTTTTCTTCCAATACCTTATTACAGTGAAAAGTAATACTATATATTTACTAAACAAAAATTGAAAAGCTTAATACAAAGTATTTTGTAACTTTGTTTCAAGATTTTAAAAATAATTTTTAATTTTTTTAATGTATATAATAATATATTATGTAGCGTGCCGCTGTTTGAAAGTATGGTCGACCATACATGACATTATTAAATAAGACCGACGACTATAGTAAGTTTAAAGTCAACATTCATGAAATTAGATTATGTTTCTTATGTTTACAGACTGAGTACTTAAAACTTATATAAAAAAGGCGCTCGCCCATCATTTTCTTAGATTATGTTTTTAACAATAACACTGTCAACACCTTATTAGTGCTTGTTAAGTGATTGACAAGTGATGAAAAGCATGTACTGTTTGTTTTAAAAATCTATTTCTCTGTTATTTTAAACTTAAAGTAAAGTATTTTTTAATCAGATTAATTATACTATAAATCAACTAATATTCCGCAAATAAAGTTTCTGAAAAATATATTTTATTTTTGGAAGATTTTTAAAACTGAGAATTAACTTTTGTTTACGGATGTATCAAAATGTGTCAAAAATGACTGATTTTTGTTTTACTCAACTGAAAGTAACCAAAAAATTAAGATTCCAATCAATATAATTTCTATTTGAAATACACCAGAGTATTTTGCTTACAGGAAATAGTAAATTTAATCATTTAGCTTTGAATAACAGCTAAAAAGAAAATTTCAAGAATTATTTTTCATTTTTCAAGATTCATTTTAAACCTTCATTCAGTTATGTGCCATGCGTGATAAACGCTTAGGCGATCATGTATCTTTCGATACATGACTGACGAGGCAGATTTTTTTCCCGCAGTAGGTTGCCATTTCTTTCTGTGGTAGACCAGTTGCCATCCAAGGTCTGTCCTGCTATTTACGGTAAATAATAATAATACCATAGTTAGGGGGAGGGAGAAGAAGAGGATTCATATTTTCCCCAAGGATATTAGCTTAGCCTTTTTAGCACGTATCGAAAATTTAGTGGAGGTACCTTATAAAAATAGATTTGAAGATAACGTTATTATTGTTGATTGAAAAAGTAATTTTTCCTTTTATGCAGCGCAGAATGCTTTAACGTAAAATAGAGAGAGATGGCGAATAACAATTTTAAGGAACTAGAAAAAACTAAAAATGTGTCTAAATTCGTCTTTTAGAGCCAACTCCATTAATGTCAGATCAAAGTTTTGTTATGCAACTTTTGTCACCATTGCTTCCGACCTCGAGAGAAACATTTGTTACCTCCCCTTTCGATTTTTCTTTTCACACCGGATAGAAAAATATATGGAAACTCCGTTTTGTAACAAAAAAGAATTAAATTAAAATATTCACGTGGAACAGTTTTACTTCTTTTTTTTTTAAGGTAAAAGTTACCTATATGTATTTAAAATAATTACTCATCACTATTCGTTTTTATTCACTATGGATATTTATACGTGTTGCTTTTAGTTTTCACCCTAAAGAAGGCAAAATAAATTCAATTTCACAAATTTATACATTTTTTATTTCATAATTAAAAATGTATGCGTACTTTATCTGATTATCCAATTAAATGCTTATGTTGGGATTGTTTGCCAAAATAAGTTATCTTTTTCTGAACTAGTTTTAAAAAAACAAAAAATTAGATTCGGTACTTAATAAAATTTTACAACACAAAAAACACAAAGAGTACAACATTAAAAAAAAAAACTCGTATTCATTACATCATTATACTAATGCCATTAATTTAATGGTGAAGTGCTTCAACAATTAAACATGGAATATAAAATTTGTCGTATAATCTATTGAGTTGAAGTTACAAATTAAAAAAAAAATAAAAATATTGTCACATTTAAGAATCAACATTGTTACTGTACGTTGAAGCTACCATACATTCTGTTTAGTAAACATCCCGGTCGGTGGGTATCACAACAGAAGCACATTTTCAGTCGGTCTTCTTACGAGGATTGTAAAATGTTTAATGAAGTTAATAATTTTCTAAATTTAAAAGGAGACAGTCCACCTCCTGGAGAATGTATTCTTGTGTCGGATTTTACTTGTGATTATGGAACATTCCTTGTACACCATTTTATATCGTATTTCTTGAAGAACCTGTCTTCCCCGTCAAGCACGACAAATAAGCAAAAACACGTGTGTTTGGTAAGTTTTGCCCAGTCGTTCAACCATTTCCATTGCGTAGCCCAAAAATTTGGTCTAAATCTGCGCCAATTGCAGGACAATGGTTCGTTCGTATTTGTGGATGGACTTAAATTCCTGGGACAAGCGATCAGCCGGGAAACAGAAACAAAAGAAAATCCGTTGTCTTCAGCTCTTTCACAACAAGAAAATCTGAAAGATTTCTTCTTTTATTTAAGATCACAGTTCAATTCCGACGAAGAAGGTAATAAATAAATTAAATGACGTGAATATTGTTTACCAGGCACACGGCAAAGTGGCAGTCAGAAGCTTATCTGTCATTCAGTTACTGGGTAAACAAAGTACCCCAAAATTTGTGCAAAGCAAAGAGAATTTAGGGTAGGTTTCCTAAAAACACTAGAGTTGGATCTTTTCTGTTAATTCACCACAAAAAGTTAGCCATCGCAAATGTTAATTCACCCCAAGAAATTATAAATTTTTAAATCAGAGTTTGTTTTTATTAATTTTTTCGCACTCTTTTGAAATTTTAAATCAAAATTTGTTTAGCTTGATTCGCAACAACTCCAATCCTCAGAATGAAAAATTACCAAAAATCATGGAGTTATTCACATTTCGTAAGTACGGATGATATTCGAGGTACTCACAAGAAATTTTTTACAATTTAAAAGAAAATGATTTTGGCTAATCGGGAATGAGCGCGAATGTAGACCTCACACTTAGAAATAGCGTACTATTTGGGTAAATCGCAAATATCAATCCAACCGAGGTGCAATGGAAGGGCCTTGCTCTCTAGGAGAATTTGGTGTGAATTTTGAATAAATTCTTTTTATTTTGGGGTGAATTAACAAAAGATCACTGGTACAATTTTGCTAGGAAAGTTAAAAAATATGAAATTGTTTTGATTAAAAAAAAAAAGATTAATATGCTGATAGCCGGTGTACTGTTTGCCCTGTAAACAGTAGTCAAGTCAAATTATCCCATCAATCTGGTTGCTATTTGAGTTTAGGTTTAAAAAAAGAAAAAAAAAAAAAAGAGCCAGGATTTCATATGCTCATTTTCTCGGTAAGCAAACTTTTCCTTTGATGTTACTTGAAAGTTTGGCATAATAATAGTCTTCATTTTTTTTAATGTTTTCCCACATCTTATGTGACACAGTACTCAACTGTACTAAGTTTAATTAAAAAAATCTAATGGAAGAAAATTTGAAATAAAATGTAAAACGAATAAAAATACATTATTTTTTTTTTTTTTTGGCTCTCAGTACTCTCCTCTATTTATCCAGTTTTTAATTTTTTTTATGGAGTTACGTTTCTTTATGTCGGGGAAGTTAAAACTGATACCAACTCCTGGTTCATGGTGTCATCCTACCCACAGACAGCAACTCATCTTTGGGTGGGGTTTGGGGTCATTTACATGGTGCCGAGGGGTCTTTAGCAATGTTTGTACGGCCATTCCGAAATCCCATATTATTTTTTTTTTTTTACATTTTATTGCATAGTGGACACACAGATAAATATTATATTACCTATTATCCCTATTTTATTGTTTTGATTGTTATATTCTCCAACCTTCTTCAGATGCATGTTGTATCTGGTAATTTTTCTTTTCTTTTTTTTACAACCTACCTCTCAAAACAACTCCCCATTGTCCCAGTTGGTGGGTATCATAACAGAATCTCATTTTCATGTTTAATGAAGTTAATAATTTTCTAAACTTAAAAGAAAAGTAGACACTCCACCTCTCAGAGAATGCATTTTTGTGTTGGATTTTACTTGTAAATCAGATTATGGAACATTCTTTGTAAACTATTTTTTATGGGAAATCACTAACATACACTGTGGAGCAGAGTTCTGTAACTTTTTAGACCTTCAACTCCTTCATGGAATCTTTAATTCCTCATTAACCCCAGGTATGTACAAAAATATTAATAATAATAATTTTTTATTTAAGGGTAGAAATTCGATTAACCCTATAGGAATTAAATTATATATATATTTTCCTATTACTATTAAGAAGTCGTTGATGGTCATGCTAGAAAGTCGCAAGTTTGAGTGTATCATGCATTCAAATTATATACTCCTTCCCAGAAACTGTAACTAAAGTCTGCTCAGCATAGTTTTATATTTTTAGTTTCATGCATGCATGTTGTTTGTTTTTGATTTTGTCAACTGCACAGTATTGTAGGGTCAGTTGGGCACCATCAGTGAGAAAAAGTGCACTATGGTGTAATTCATTCTGCCAGAAATTTGGGAACATTATGCTGTACTGCTTGGCATTCAGGCCAGAAGTTCCAATACAAACATTTCAGAGTGTTTGGGTGTCAATCTGAGGACAGTGCAGAGGATTCGGAAAAAGCTGGATGAGTCTGATGGTGATTACAAAGGTGTTTGGAGGGAGTGATCATTAGTGATAGTGATATTATACTTCCATTCATCTTTCACAGAGCCTCAGACTCAACATGAAGGCCTACATTGAGGAAGTAGTACTACCCTGGCTGCTAGATGACCCTATGTCTGGCAACAGGACTCTGCACCATGCCACACAAGCAGGAAAACCCAGTCATGGCTGTCAGACAATTTCTATGACCACATCACCCCTTACATCTAACTCCCCAGACTGCAATCTCCTTCATTATTATGTGTTGGGTGCATGTTAGTGAGAGAGCAACAAAACTCCATGTAAGACCAAAGATGAACTGAAGGCAAGGATTATGGCAGCATTCACCAAACTTAAACAAGGAGACCGTCCAGAAGAGTTGCAAGAGATTCCAAAGTCGCCTGGAGGCCATGGTTGAAGCCAATGGCAATTTTATTGAATAAATTTACTCTTTAGTCTTTCAAGATATTTTTGTGTAATTTTGGTAAATATATCTGTTAATGAAATGTCAGTGTTATTTTGAATTTTGCATCATGTAGACGACAATTTATCCATTGCACCCTGTATATCTGTTAAAATGAAATGTCAGTGTTATTTTGAATTTTGCATCATTTAGATGACAATTTATCCATCGCACCCTGTATATCTGTTAAAATGAAATGTCAGTGTTATTTTGAATTTTGCATCATGTAGACGACAATTTATCCATTGCACCCTGTATATCTGTTAAAATGAAATGTCAGTGTTATTTGAATTTTTGAATCCATTTGCATCTGTTAAAATGAAATGTAGATTTAGAACAATTTATCCATCGCACCCTGTATATCTGTTAAAATGAAATGTCAGTGTTATTTTGAATTTTGCATCATGCAGACGACAATTTATCCATCGCACCCTGTATATCTAACTATACAGATTGAGTGTAATATGTTTTCATGATACAAAACATTGACTCTACTGTCATATGTTACTTTATTACTAATAGATCCATTAATGATTCTACTTCGATAAAAATAAATAAATAAAACATGATAATAAAGAGAGCCCCAAATAAAATTTTTGGCAAGGTTCAAATATAAATGCTACAAGCAGTATTTAACTATACAAATATATGATTCATTATTCTATTTTATTTTATTTTTCATACCAGGATATTGCAAAATGTACAATCCATAGCAACGAGCAGAAAAATGAAAAGGAATATTGGAATTCCCTCCACTTGATTAAATTATGATTAGAGATCAAAATAATGTTAAAATATAAGAAAAACTGCTATTTGATCACTAGTCCCCTAATGACTCCAGAATGAAATATACATGATTACAAATGATTAAATTATGATTAGAGATCAAAATAATGTTAAAATATAAGAAACACTGCTATTTGATCACTAGTCCCCTAATGACTCCAGAATGAAATATACATGATTACAAATGATTAAATTATGATTAGAGATCAAAATAATGTTAAAATATAAGAAAAACTGCTATTTGATACGCTAGTCCCCTAATGACTCCAGAATGAAATATACATGATTACAAATGATTAAATTATGACTAGAAATCAAAATAATGTTAAAATAGAAAAGAAACAATTACACACAAATTTTATACCTAAAGTTTTAGTTTTTTTTTTTGTATATTCCTTGCCAAATTTTTGGTGCATACTATACACTGAGAAATATTATTATACGTAATTAAGTAAATGATCACAAATTAAAATAATGTTTAGGTAAAAAAAGACAAACATAAATGTTATAACATTTTTTTTTAACTATTCCTTGACAAATGATAGGTGTGCGTTATACACTGAGAAATGTGGTATATATTATTATAAATAATAAAATAATCACATTATATTTCTGCGTGTTCCCTAGTTAGCATATACATACCTTATAAGTAATGGACCATACCGTTGTGATGTAAGGAAAGGTGGAAATGATATATCAAAGATACTGTTTGGTTTCAGTGAAATGGAAAAACTTGTCAATTTCAATCTTTACATTTGTATCCTCTTACTTCTTTAAATAATGACCTGCATTAATACTTATGGTTGTTATTGTAATATGTGGTTAAAGTTATTAAACTCAAATATGCATTAGGGAAATTTCCATGGGTATTTTAATAGTTGTGGAACTTGCAAGGATTTTATTCAATCACCAAAAAATTAAAATAGCAAAACTGAAATTTTCATGGATATTTCTCATGATTATATATAAACATAATATAGGTACCTCCACAAAATCGCTATAAAAAGAGCATAGCTTGATGAAAAAGATGCCAACCTTGCCGAAAACAAAATTTTATCATCTAAATACTTATGTTATTATTAAGAGGAAAGACCACAGTTTTTTCTAATTATTTTTAAAAAAATTTTCCTTCTTTTTAGAACATTCTAAATTTTGATTAAAATAACCTTGTTTCTCTTTGTATCACTGGAACTAGTAAAATAACATAGACAATTTTTAGCACGTTTTTTTTGGTATGACACACATTAATTTGGAAAATCTTGCAAAAATAAAAATAATTGTCAGATGTTAATGAAACTTTCAGGAACTATTCACAGATGATCAAAATTATTATAGATATGTTTTTTTTTATTAAAGTCATGGCAGAAATATTTTTTTTTAATATTTATTACCCCAACCCATAACTAATTTTATGAAAATGCTAGAAATTCGATCGCATCGGGTTTAGTGATTACAATAGTTAAAAGCACAAGTCAAGTGACGCAAAAGTTTATGACCTGCTTTGTTTTATTTTCAAATTACATCTTTTTGGCACAGAAGCTAAGTTAAGCTTGGTTCAAAATATTTTAAATAAACATTATAATTTCTGATTTTCTTAAAATAAGTTTTGGAAAAATGACAATTGATATTTAAAAGAATTTCAAAGTGAGATTTCCAGTTTTTTTATAAAATGGAAAAAAATGGTCAAGTTTGCTGACTCAAAAAAAAAACAAGATTTTTAACGAAAATTTCGGACATGCTAGGAACGATTAAAAAATGTAAAAAAATACCGCAAAAATACTTTGATCTTTCCTCTTAATAATAACATAAACATTTAGACGATAAAATTTTGTTTTCATCAAGTTTGGCATCTTTTTCATCATGCTATGCTCTTTGTTCAGCGATCTCGTGGAGGTACCTATAAATTGAGAAAATTATCTTTATATTGTATTTATATATGTCTCTCTCTGTTGTGTAGGTCATTGCTACACTTACACGTCAGGTGCAGCTGTAATGTCATGTGATTATGCACTGAGCAACTATGATCCTTTGATGGTTTGGTGTGATATCGAGTGCAAATTCTATTCTGGCATGAGACTACATCAGCATCCTTCTGTAAAACCACATCTCTTGCCTCAAGTCTCCTTTTCATTTTGAGGAACTTGTCCAGCATTCACTGCCATATAGGAGGATTGATATTACATTGCAGTTCAACATTCTTTTCTTTGTAATTAAGTTTTCCTGTTTTTAATACTTTGCTTAACTTTGGGAACATATCTTTCACTATTCCAATGTGCTTTCAGATTTCACTGTCACATTATCTGTCATATTTTAAAACTGTTCCAAGATTTTTTTAATCATAAATAAAGCCAATAAATTGCAAGAGGCTATTGAGTGTTTGATAATATAAGGAAAAAACACTATTAAGGAGAGAGAACAATAAAAGAATGGGAATTAAGAAAACAGAAAATAACGATTAACATTGCATTTAAATTTTGAAGATCAAAGTTGACTGAAAAGCAAAAAACAGAAAAAGTGAGAAGTGCAAGACAAGAAACTGTTAGCATAGAACTTACAGTTACATCTAGCCATTTCAACTGTAAAATGATGAGACCTTGCCACCAATCAAGTACTGTGCTTAAATTCATAAAGTCTAGGTACCACCATAGAGTAAATTACATTAGAACAATAACCATGAAAGTGTTGTTAGAAAAGGCACAGGGAAGCTACATTACAGCGGTGGGGAAGTGACTAAAGCTAAAATGCCTGGTCAGGACCCAATAACATTGCAGATTCTTCTTTGGATTTTATCAAAAATACCAGATGTGGCAGCAATATTCAAAGCAAGGATAAATGGTAGACTTATAAATATGTAAGGTAAAATTTGGCCAGAAAAATTATCTAGCCTGACACAGTGAACCAACTTTCCTTGCAGGAGAACTAACAATTGATCCAATATCTTTCTACTTCATGTCAACAGAAAACGTTAGATATTTAAATTTCTGTATTTGAGTCTGATATCTCCAATTCATCATGCACATCTTGGGCTGCCTCTTTCAATAACAACCATACATTCTGTCTTCTTACAATTGATGGTTAGTCCTTTGTTCTTGCTTTCCTTTACTATCTTCTCCTGGAAGTCCTGCAGATTTCTTTCTGTATTTGCCATTAACATTGTGCTATAAACTTACTGATTTACTCCATTTTCTTTTTATTATCAGATGGCACTTGGCCAGTTGTCATTATTGATAACTTGGGCATTCTCCTTAGTCTCGGGGTTCCTCTGACACAGCTCACAGCATTTTACCAGTCTTTACGATCACATGTCTGTGTGGAGAGAACAGGATCTTTGGTTGTTTACCTTAATGTTGCTGAAGAAGATGAACAAGAACAATTGCTTCTGAAGCATCTGTGCCATATGAGTGATTGCCATTTGCAAGTACGCGGTTTATCCACTGGTTATTGTAAGGATATTCATGGAGAGGTAAGCTGATAAATCTCTCTCTCTCTCTCTCTTTCTATATATATATATATATATATATATATATATATATATATATATATATATATATATATATATATGTGTGTGTGTGTGTGTGTTTTTTTATATAATATCAAATAGATATGTATGTATAAGGACAATATGAATAAAGACAAAAGGAAAATTTAGCTAATGCTTTTCGTCCTCCAAGGGACTTTATCAAGGTAAATGTGAGGATTTTATTTTGTAACAAGTATTTATATACAAGAGCAAAGATGTTACTGGTTTTTCAAAATTTTTAAATCCATGGATGCTCATAAATATTCATCAAGCCAGATGAAAATATCTTTAATCTTTTTTATCCACTGTGCCATATGTCCTGGAACTAGAAACAGTCTACTCCAGTGAGCGAAATAAAGGGTTCAGTCCGACACTCCAACCACCTGAAGAAGGCCGGAGCATACAACGGCCAAAACGTTGTGATAAACATGGTGACAAAGATGAGGACAATAGTCTGAATAATGTAAATAGTGTATTTTTGCTCTCGGTATATAAATACTTGTTAGAAAATAGAATCCTTGCATTTGCCTTGATAAAGTCCCTCAGAGGACGTAAGATGTCGCCTAAGATAAGTTTTCCTTTTGTCTTTATTCATATGTGCGTGTGTGTGTGTGTACATATATATATATATATATATATATATATATATATATATATATATATATATATATATATGAGCCAAAATGTGCCTCCACCAGTTTGCCCACAGAGATTCGACTGCTGACAGGGCAAAGTTGGAATTACCTATTAAAGCAATCACATTTTTTTTTTTTTTTTGCTGATTTTCATGAATCTATATCTGCTAACTCCAGTTTCATACCTGAAACATAAACAAGAGTAAATTTTTAAAGGATTTTTTTATCTGACATTATTTCTTCTTATGATAAACATTGTTTTTGGTGACTGCATGCATGCGTTCGAGTTGCTAATAGTAATATGAAATAATGTTGGAAAAAAAATTCCCTTTAAAAAATTACTCTTCTTTCTGTTTTTGGTATGAAACTGAAACAACCAGATATACATTTGTAGAAATCCCAATGACAAAATGTGCTTCTTTTAATATACATGCATATATATATATATATATATATATATATCCAAGTATAGGATCGGTATATACAGAATAAATTCCAATAACCAACAAATACTATTCTTAAAAGAGTGCTCAATACAGAGTAGAGCAAATATAATTCATTCGAAAATTATAACATAAATATGTTATAAAATCACAACAAAAATAGCCATTTTGTTTCAACACTTCTGGAGTCTTATCAAGTGATGGTGTAGAAATGATGGTGTTGAATGTAGAACCTACATTCAACACCATCACTTGATAAGACACCAGAAGTGTTGAAACAAAATGGCTATTTTTGTAGTGATTTTATAACATATTTATGATATAATTTTCAAATGAATTATATAATGAAATAGATTAAATCTGACATTTTAATTTGTTTTGCTTCATTGTTATTTTAGATGGATACTCATATTCAAGTAAATGCACTGTTTATTTAATTAAACAGTATTTTTATTTAATTCCATTTACTGGCTTGAATATTTGAGATAATCATATTTTATGACAAGATTCTCGAATATTCAGGTCAGTAAATGTAATTAAATAAAAAACTGTTTAATTATTTAGCTTTCCTTATCTATCTATCGAGATATATATATATATATATATATATATATATATATATATATATATATGCTGGACATATGAGGATCAAGCTACTCAGTTCCTACGAACTGACAGCCAGACACCAGCACATGATTTGATTATAGTGGTGAAGGCTTTGTGCAGAACTAACCACACTTTTTGAAGGGCCAAATACAGAGACCTGGTGGATTATGTGCCACAAGGTCCCCAAATGACCCTCCACAGGTTTTGAATTCAGAGTTGTTGTTCTCCTAGACCAGTTGCTATCCAAGGCTATAGAACCCAGTCTGTCTTGCTGTTTATCCATAACTGGGGGGAGAAGAGGAGTATTCCTACCTTTCCCAAGGGTATTAGCACATAAGTGAATGTAACGGATTCGACTGGAATTCAAACTCGGCTCTCTGATTCCTCAATCTAAGCCGGTATCCATTACTCCACCATGCCTCCACTCTCTCTCTCTCTGTATATATATATATATATATATATATATATATCCAGGGTGCTTTAAAAGGTCTCTGGTGAAATAAACTATTACGATGGAGCCTTAAAGTGATCTGTTTTTCTTTAAATTATTAGCTCTGAATTTACATTGAGCTGTCAGGATTTCATCCTCCTTGGAACTACCCATACGGATTACCAAGTTTTTCGTTACTTAACTATCTTCAAGCGAAATTTTTTGGGGATTCCAAAAAAAAAAAAAAAATTTCGCTTGAAGATGGAACAGAGCTTATTTTAACTCAATTTAATTTAAATAATTATATTGAAGTTTTCGGCTCTTGTTTTGAAACATGGGACTTCTTATGTTGCGATTTGGAATCATATTTTTAAATAAATAATTAATATATATATATATATATATATATATATATATATATATACACACATCTTCAAAAGATGCACTAAAAGATGAGCATAGATGATGAAAAAATGCCCAAGACTTAATAAAAAACAAAGTTTTATCATCAAAATCTTTATTATTAAAAGGAAAGACCAAATGATTTTTTGATTATAGAATTAGATATTTTAATCCTTTTTTGGAACCTTTTTAGAGCATTCATTTATTAATTCTTACAAAAATCAGATAATTGTTGGATTTTAATGAAACTTTCAAGACCTATTTACAAATGAATTAAATTATTTTAGAAATCCTGGTAAAAATATTTCTTTTTACATTTCTTAATCTCACTTAATTTTATGAAACATTAAGAAATTCATTTTTGTATGGCTTAATGTTTATATTAGTTAAAAGCAGAACTTCTAAGTGAATTTAAATCATCAATTTTCTTTTGTAAAACAGGATACCCAGTTACTAAAAATTTGCTCTGAATCTTAAATCAAGAATGCAATAAAACTAACACATTATTTAATCAGAAAAGCTTTTAATTTCTTTTATGAATAAGATACATTATGGACACTTGTTTTGAGAAAAAAAAATGTTTGGATGAATAATGAATTTTTACAAGAATTGTTTTCATTTTTTAAAAATTTTAATTAGAATAATTTATAAAGTTTTAAATCTTTTAAAATTCTGTATTGTAATGGTTGGGTGATATTGTTATTAAGTAATAACTGTATTTACTAATTATAAATGAAAAAGCTTACTACAATTCAGCGACCTACCCACCACCCCAGTATTTTAAAAAGGATTTCAAATTTTTTGTGTGTGTATAAACATGCCAAATTTTTAAAAATATGAACGTCCATACAAGATATCATCAGAAAATAAGAGTATTAACTACAGTAAATTCAAAACTAAAGTACCTAAAATTCAATAAAACATTAAGTAGAATATTTTCACAAATTTTAAAGATTACTAAGTAGTTAAAAATTAAATGAAAAAGGTGCTCATTTTATATTCAAGTAATTTTTAGATATGTCCCCCGTATAAAAAATTAGTTAAATTTCCCAGTAGAGCTGTCTACACATCACAGAAACACCCACCTACGTGTCAAAAAATGCTTTTCTGTGATATTTTAAATTAAAAGTAATTAATATTTGTTTTAAATCAGATTAATTAAACTTTAAATCAGCTAATATTCCTCAAATAAAGTTTCAAAAAACTATATTTTATTTTTGAAAGATTTTTTGATAAAGAGAATTATGTTGTGCTGAGAGATTTGTAAATATGTCTAAAATCAGCCATTTTTAGTTTCGTCAAAAAACCCAAAAAACTCATTCCACTCTTCAGTTTGAAATATGGCCAAGTATTTTGCTTATTGGAAATATTAAATTTAATCTATTAGTTTGAAATTTAAATTAAAATAAAAGCTTCAAGAAAGATTGTTTATTTTTAAAAACTCATTTTAAACATTAGGCATTGTTTTTTTTGCTGTACCTGTACCATAGTATTGGGTTGGTGCATAATTATCAGGCGTTTTTAAATAATATTTATTATGAAAAAAGAAACATAACAATTGAACAATAACATTTTTAAATGATTATTCCGGAACGTATGATTATCGACAATGCATTTTTTAACTTGAAAATAAAATAATATTTTTATTAAAAAAAGTAAACAAAACAGCAATTTTTATTAACAAATAACTCACCTACAAAAACGCCTGATAATTATGCACCAACCCAATATTTTAAAAGTCCCTGTCACATTTCTGGAATGTGTAGAAAGGCTGATAGATATAATACACCGTGTTTAATAAATAAAAATGGGGCATCTATTTCAAGTAAAACTTATATATTTGAAATACTAAAAATGGATTAAAAATAAATTCATTTATTCTTTAGAAATATATATATATATTTTGAAAGGTGATGTTTCAGTGCATCTTTCTGTATGATTCATGTGTTGATTGTAAATTTTAAATGTTTTTACATTAAAAGTGAAAACTGAGGAAAAGTAGATGCATTGTTATTTTTTTTTAATATTCTCAAAAGTGAGAAAAATGCAGTACAAACAGTAAAAATATGTAACATTTATAGAGATGGTGCTGTAGCTGTAGCTGAGAGTACTGTTTGTAGATGGTTCAAAATATTCAAAAGTGTAAATTATAATGTGGAAGACCAATAAAGTGCCAGCAGGCTTGCAATCATTGATGATGACAAAATTGAAACGCTGACTGAAAATAATGCGCCAGTCATGCAACACATTGCAGAGAGAAACGCTACAATGTTTGACTGACTCAAGATTTAATGGATATTATTTAATGGAATTCACTTTTATCTGTGATTCTTTGCTCAAATGCAACAATAATGACCAATTTTTTTTAAAAGAACACCCACAAGCGATGAAAAATGTATTGTTTGCAAGAATGTGGAGCAAAATGGTCCTGGGGAAATTAAAATAACTTGCCGTTAACTGCTCCATCAACCAGCCTGCATCTTAACAATGTGATGCTATATATTTGGTGGGATTGGATGGGCAAAATCAGATATTGAATTCAGACAATTGCTGTTCTCAGTTGGCATATATTAAAGGCAGTAATTAATGAAAAGTGTCTAGAATTGGTCAATCAGAAAAAATGTCATCTTCCATCAGGACAACACTAGATCTCATGCTTTACAGATCTGGTAGATATTGGTACAGCTTATCTGGAATGTCCTCCTTACACCTGCCATACTCACCTGACCTTCATCAGGTGCTTGTCAATCTGGATAATCTTCAGGTCAAGGCTCACCAAACAGGGAAACTGGTACAAATAAAAGAAAAACATAAGAGTAGCACCATAAGGCCCACCATAGTTTGGTAAGAGCAGTTGTCAATATCATCAGTTGACAGTCGAGTCCCTCTAAGGAATCTTTGCTAAACAAGGGTCTCAACTTTATCACAAATATCTGGCATGTCCCAATCTTGACATGAGAGCTTCGATTGAGGAGGTTGCAATGAAGATCACAAAGGCCCAAGCCAATGAGCTAAGTTGGAAAGTGAGTCTTAAACCCAGATTGTTGTCACTTGACTCCCAAAGTTTTCATTTATTTATTTATTCTGTTATTCCATTTTTGTCAAGTGAGTAACTGCTTTGAAGACTATATATCACAGACTTTACTGCCAATCATAAAACAAAAAACACCTCAGATGAAGATAAAACCACACACTACTATGTAGGTGTCACATTCATAATGTCACATTCATATCTCCCCAAATAAAGAGCAATATCTTTTTTTCCTAACAATAGGAAACACAAGATAAAATGCAAAACACTACTATGTATCCAGTTTTTGAAAGAGAAAGTGCTAAGAACTTTTGCACATGCATAATATTTAAAACTATTTTTAAAAAAAATATTTATCTGTATACTTGTTTAAAAAATATCAAATGACTATTCAAACATTTTTTTCAATTAGTGATTTTTTGTTACCTCCTACACTGCAAATGTGGATTTTTAAAATTTGATTTAAACTTTGATTTCAAAAAAACTTTAACAGATTGGAACAGTTGAAAGATCATTGCTATATAATTTTAGAATCTATTTTTCTCAAATTTTAAATGTAATTTCATCACTTTTAATTAATTTATTTTCTTCTTTTTTTGTCTTTTTTTTTTCATCAGCTCACAGCAACATGGCATGAGTTATCGCCCTTGTCAAAGCATCAGTCCAAAACTACACAATTCAAATTACTAGACAAAAATGTGTCATTGTTTGCTGCTGGAATGTCACAAGCTGTCTTATGACATCTTTTTATTATAAGAATAGTAAGTCTTTTATGGAAAAATAAACCTGTATAGACTAAAAACATGTTTGTTTTTATTCTTGTATTACTATCACTTAATATTTTTATTAAAAGAGAATTGGAATTGTTGCTCACAACCTGATTTCTTTTTAATTTATTTGTGTTCATAAATACATTAAACTTTTGTGCAAGTCATAATGAGATAAACAATGAATAAGATTTGAAAGCATACACATATATTATGCAAATTTGATATGGAAAATGATGTTCATTATCTTAATAAAAAAAATTGAGCTTTATTGGATTACCACCTCCTGACAATAATCACAGGTGGTGCAATATTTGAAAGGCTCTTCCTCCTTTAACTTTTGGAGCAGCAACACACATTTCTTTTTGCTCTTATAGACATGAGGTATGTAAATACTTCAGAGACAGACTGAAGATTGTATTGAACTAAATTCAAATTTGTTTCTTTCTTTATCCTTCTGTAAACATGTCTTGTAAATACATTTATTAATGTTGTTTGTTTGAATTCCATGCTTTGTGTACATTTTATCCAGACTCATCCATCTGTCTTGGGTATGACGATAAACTACATCCATGTCCTGGGTAAGACGATAAACTATGTCCAACAGAAAGGCCTCTGATCAGGAGGTTTTGAGAAGCGTGAAACCACCTCTTAATTGCTGGTGTTTCCAGGTCTACCCTGACCCTGGGCGGTAGCACCTGTTAGGGTCCCAGCTATGGGCAAATAGTTAACCCCCAAACTGGGGTCAAAGCACTAAGAAAGTATGAAAAATAGGTTTTAATACCAGAAATACTTTGTAAAAAATTATTACCAGCAATACATTATGACCAGCAATACATTTTTGAAAACCTAAATATTACCGGCAATACATTTTTGAAGGAAAGAATATTATCAGCAATACATTTTTGGAAAAAAAAAATTACCAGCAATAAAAATTTTGTTGGCATTAAATAACTCATTGAGGTTGATATGCTGTAAAACAAACCAAACCAAACCAAATATCCAGACTCACATGAGTCCACTAAATATTGTTTATGGGACAAATGTATCAGGAGACATAAAATGATAATACTTTCCATTCTTGCAACAACATTTAGTAGAAGCAGCAGTTACTGGTTGTTCAAGAATGTTTGAAGGGACCATTGGAATATTATGAATAGGAGAAGAATTTTGAACTTGATGTGGGGCAAAAACGTGAGAATTGAAAGATGAAGAACTTTGAGTAAAAAAGGATTTTCAATCATTGTAATGGCAGTACCTAGTGGCATAAAGGCTTTGGAGTTACATTGTGCAAGATCAAGGACACTTATCTGAATGTATGTTTGAGAAAGAGTTAGATTTCCTAATAGACACTGTTATATATTTGCAGAATGTAGCCCATTAATGAAGGCTAGCTCATGGCTCTATCATATTTTGAAAGGTTTTCAGTTTTAAAAAATGCAGGCATCTCTCAATTAATGCACATTCGATTAGTACATTTTCAGTTAGTGTGCTAACATTTATATATACCAAAATTCAATCAGTGCATACACAATACTCACTTCGTACAGTAAAACATTCTTCAGTTTAACCATAGCAATTGAAAATTGATTTTTTTATAATTACTGATGCTAATCAAGGGATTCCTGTAGTTTTTCTAATTAAAATGAATGGAAATTTTGCTATAGTTTGCTATTGTTGGATTACTGCCCACTGACAATAATCACAGGCAGCACAATGTTTGAAAATCTCTTCCTCCTCTTTTCCCTTTGACTTTTGGAGTGGCAACATATGTTTCATTTCACTCTGATAGACATGAGGCATGTAATTCAGAGACACAGACTGAAGATTGTATTGAACTGTTCGTAACTTCAACTTTGTTTCTTTCTTTATCCTTCTGTAAACATGTCTTGTAAATACATTTATTATTGTTGTATGTTTGAATTTCATTTTTCTTTGTTTTTTTTTTTTACCTGGACTCACATTATTTGTGGAACAAATGCACCAGGTGGCATGAAATTATACTTTCTAATCCTGCAACAATATATAAAGAATAACATTTCAAGAAGAGAGAAAATATACTTGTGTCTTTTTTTTAAATGGATTTAAATAATAAAGAAGTCTCTTGAAATAAGCATTTATTTTATTTTTTATTTATTTATTCTATTTTTACTTTTATTCTTATTTTATTTTTTTATTTTATTTATTTTTTATTTTTATTTTATATTTTTATTTATTTTATTTTTAAGACATTACATTGCTTGGTGTCTAGCTTTTTTTAAAAAAAAAAAGATTTTTAAAATTTTTTTTATCATTTCATTTTATCATTTATAATTTACTAACAAGGCAATGATGCTACTGACATGCAAGGTGTTACTGAATATGAAAAAAATGAGAAAAAGAAAAACATTATTAAGGAATGAGAACAATAAAAGAACAGGAATTAAGAAAACAGTTGATAACAATTGACATTATATTTAAATAGTTGAAGATCAAAGTTGATTGGAAAGCAAGAAACCAGAAGAGAGTTCCACATGTGAGAAATGTGAGAGAAGAAACTGTTAGCATAGAACTTACAATTACATCTAGCCATTTGAACTCTAAAATGATGAGATCTTGTCGTCAATCTAATACTGCATTTGAATTCATAGAGTCTAGATACCATAGTGGAGAGTTCATCAGAATATTTACCATGAAATTATTTATAGAAAAGTCACAGGGAAACTATATTACAGCAATGAGAAAGTGACTGAAGCCAAGATGCCATTGTAGATTCTTCAGATTTTATCAAGAACCTCTAAATATATAGCAGGAGCACTAGAAGATATGTGGCAGCAATATTCTAAGCATGGATGACTGGCTGACTTGTAAATATTTAAGATAGATTCAGGTGAGAAAAATTGTCTAACACAACACAGTGAACCAACTTTCCTAGCAGCAGACGTAGCAATCAATTCAATATAATCATTCCACTTCATGTCAGCAGAAAACAATTAGCCCAGGAAGATGCAATGAGTAATTCCCCTGAATCATGTTCTTTTATTGTACTTTCTTCTCACTGATGTCTTTTCTTTCTCTTTCACTCCCTGTAACCAATTGAATCTTTGTGGCATTATCACCTTGCTTGGGGTGAAATGATTAAAAAAAACAAGAGATCCAGAAAATCATACCATGGATTGTCCAATGCCCTATGAGTGAAATTGAGTAGACAAAACTGGAAGTTGTCAATAGTTGTGCTAATATAAAGTTACAAGTCAGCATGACTGAGGGTTCAAGCATACTTTCTTGTTCAATTATTAATCATGCCAAATTATGTGCTTCCTCCCAGAAACTGTAACTACAGTTTGCTTAGTATAATTACACTATAAACCATTGCTTGGTTTTGTGGGTGTTTAAGAAATACAAGTGTGCCTGAGCAGACATCTGTAACAGGGATTAGCTAGCTGCCTTAGTAGATTTCATATAATTGGTTGTTTTTTGTTTTTTTAGTGGCATATCAACATATCATGTTATTTAATGCCAAAATCTAAATATTTTGTATGCAATTTTATTGTTATTTTATTGGAGATAATAATGGTTTTAGTGATACAGGTCTTATTAATTAAACCATAATTGGGGAGAGAAGTGGATTCATACTTTTTCCAAGGGTATTTGCACGTAAGTGAATATAACAAGCCCAACAGTAGATTTTGTGACCTACTGAGACTGTTGAATACCTACTAGGTATGTATAATGGCTATAGTATATACCTAAGATCAGAGTGTACTAAAGTAGAATCAGTTATGTTTGCTGACTGAGAAATCTAGCATATTAGAATTCTGCTTGTTCCTTCATTCCTTAGTTATTATGTACACTGTGTCTTGCCATTACTTCAGATAAACAATAGCTCATTCCTGTTTGATTGCAAGGATGGAAGAAAAGTTATATCAAAGGTTCTGTTTGATTTTAGGGGAAGAAAGGGAATATAGAGGAGGCAATAATGCTCTCATTCATTTAATGTCTGCATCAGTGAAATGGAAAACCTTGTTAATTTTTAATTCATTTGTACCCTCTTGATTTTTTAAATAATGACCTACATTCATATTTATAAGTGTTATTGCATGTTATTAAATTTAAAAATCTATTGAGGGAATTTACATGATTATTTTATAGTCGTGGAATTCACAAAGAGCTTATTCAATCATTAACTTAATATTCATGAGAAAATTGAAATATGAAAACCATGAAATTTTCATGGGCATTGCTAGTTTGTTATTCTGTCAGTTTGTATATCTGACCATTTATTTGCCTTTCTACCTGGGATCAAAGGGTAGAATCTACTTGACCCCATGGTTCTTCAGAGCCAGAATGAGTTATGCTTTCTGACTTTGAAACATATAGGATAATATTAAGCAGGAAGGAGTTTTGAAAAGTAAAGAAGACTCAGAGGGACAAAAAGGGTGTTGTAAAAGAGGATAGGGATGAAGATAGAAAGCTAGAAAAAGAAAAAAGAAAAGCATGCTGATGAAACAATATATATATATATATATATATATATAATCATTGCAACACTGGAATTCTAATGTTTCAAAGCTGAAACTTCAATTCAAATACAATCATAAAAATTAAACTTAAAATACAAAGTTCAATTATCAAGTAATGCTAAGAATAACTTTTTTTTAAATTGATTTAGTTAATTTATATGTCCAGACAACGTTGTTCTTTTGTATTATTTCAATATATATATATATATATATATATATATATATATATTAAAATATGAACATATGAAAGAACAGTAATATTTATAATCCGGTGTTCTTATTAATTAGTTTTAAAAAACAGTGCTCAATACAATTCTGCAGAGCATAAATATAAATTTAGTAATTTAAAAATATGGTTCCATCGCTACACAGAAATATTATGTATATATATACAGTGGGCTATGATAAGTTTTTAGCCACCCTTGATTACATCAATTTTGGGTTGTGTAATAATGTCTTTTCTTTTTCTCA